CTGATCTATCCATGAAGCTACTTGTGGGTTACTGTCGATAAATTCCAAAAATCTGATATCAAAATGAATCTTTGAACTCAGGTACCCTGGAAATCATGAAAATTGCATGCGTTATATACAAATTTGCATTAGATACAACATGTACATATTAAACAAATTGTGTACGTAGCTTCATCAGGGTTTTCTTCAATTCCACATCCCTAAACTTAGTGTTAAAGTTGCTTCCAAAGTGACGTAGACAAAACACGTGATACGCAAATGGTGGCTGCCAACCGGCATGATCTCTTACATCCCTTATGATGCTGGGATGACGATCGGATATTAGACACATGTCATGCCTATGCGTGACATGAAAACGCATAAGGCTAAGAAACCACGACCAATCATCCAATCTCTCACCCGGAGGAACAATAGCACAGGCAATAGGCAGAATGTATCCATCTCCATCTTGTGACGTAGCAATCAAAAGGGTTTCTTTGTATTTACCGTACAAATGCGTGCCATCAATTTGGATTATGGGTTTGCAATATTTGAAGGTCTCAATGCACTGGTGAAATGTCCAAAATACCCTGTGAAAGACAGCCTTATCGGTGTAAACTCGACGTTCATCAACACATTGGTCCATATCAATCTTGAACACAGAACCCACATTAACCTGCGTCATGTATGTCAGCCAACCAGGCAAGAATGCATATGATTTATCCCAGTCACCAAATAACTTCACAATGGCCTTCATTTTAGCCTTCCAAGCCTTCTTGTAAGTTATGTTGTATCCATACAAATGTTGTATCCTCCCTCGAATAAGAACTGGCTTTAAAGATGGATCTTCTTTTAACATACCAATATATAAAAAAAAAACTCTTAGTCAACACTGTCAGAATACAAACTGATAAACATAAACATACCGTAGGAAGTTAGATACATCGAATAATACATACTCATAATGGCTGCACATATCACATCAGAATCCAACTGTCTATGATCCCGGGTAAGACGTTGGTTTAGGCAGGTGTGTTCTTTGCCCCACTTACTGACCATCCAAGTATTTCCATTCTTCGACAACAATGCCCTCACATACTAGGGACAACCATCATTATGGTGTCGACACTTCATCACAAATCTATGCTCATCACTTCTTGCCACAACGGCAGTACGGTGAGCCTTCATACAATATAATTTCACTGCATGTTGCATTTCAGATTTGCTACGAAACTCCTGATACAAATATAATGGATCCCCTAATTGCTAGCCACCGTGCAAGTCATCGTCACTATACAATATGTTGTTTCATCATTAGGGTGGGCCCAATTAATGAAGGAATAATGTGGGCTTTCGTTCCAAAATGGCTCGATCTCAGAACCTATGTCAAAATTTATAAAGCCACCATTAATACCAATGATAACACAAATAAGAAATGCTAAATTAAATCTTTAATTCACAATCTTACCACTGCTAACAGGGTCAACACGAAGTAGTCGCGTAACCTGGGAACTCAGGTTTCCTGAGCTTGTGTCAGCGTCGAAATCACCCTCTACGTCAGTATCTGATGTGTCACCTAGCGGAATAACACTCAGGTTCACCGTCCTCATCACTGTCCATATCCTTCTCCTGCTCATCCTCATCTATTTCCCTTAGTGTTATCTGACTTATGACAGGTGCAAGTGCAGATAAATCGACGACTCTATCTTCTTGACCAAAATATGGTTCACTTCTTGTATGCATGGGTGCGGATGAAGATTAACCACAATCTAATTCAACATATATCTCAATAAAATTTTGAAATTTTCGGTCAACAATTGCATCTATGACACATTCCACTTCTTCATCATCACATATATCGTTACCAATGTAGTATATAGCATCCTTACCAACTGTAGACTCTACCTTGGCGATCATCCGCTGAACGCATTGGATGCCTTACAGACTCAATTTTTGGTGAATTCTCCCCTTTAGCTCATTGTATGTAGTGCCCCGTTTGATTTTCAACATTTTCGTTTTTCCTTCAAATTGAACACCATTGGGGCCTTCATAATGCTTTCCATCATAGTAGATCATTGTTACATACATGTTTGGACTTGTGCTCATCTTTTACATGAATTTAGGAGTAGGGTTCTGAAATTGGGGGTTTGGGTTCGGATTTTGGGGGTTTGGAGTTGTGCAATGACAATGATTTCACAATATTAAGTCTTTAGGGATGGTGGGATGAAATACAATGTGATTGCAAGGATTACACATGAAAAACAAGAGAGATACTGGTTTACACAACGATAATATTCGAAATGAGACCGAGAACTTGCAAAATATAGGGATTCTGCCGACATTTAATCGATTAAATATTTTGTTTTAGTCGATTAAAAATCCCAAAATTTAATTGATCAAGAGGGATTTTTAATCGACTAAATTTCGTGTCAATGAAATTTTTGAATTTTGACCATTTAATCGACTATACCTTCAAGTTAGTCGATTAAAAAGGGGCAGGTTGGTGGATAGTTCTGGATAAGGGGAAAATTGGTTATTAATTAATTAATGAGGGGCAAAAGGGTCAAAAAGCTAATTTAAGAAGCAACAATTTGAAATACACCTCAGGAAGATCATTGTTGAAGCCTCAAACAAGCTGAGAACCAAGGACCGGGAAGACAAAGGGACTCGATTATGGCTAGGGATGTGCATGAAGCGGTTTGGTTCGGTTATTGTCAAAAACTGAATAAAACCGGTTTTAAACGGTTTGAATTTTAAACCGAACCACTTTTTTTAAAAAAATCAATTTTTAATTTGTCCAAATCGGTTTAAAACCGGTTTCAAAACCGGTTTGTAGTTTATAACCAGTTTTGATTTAAAATCGGTTTTAAACCGGTTTTAATTCAAAATCGGTTATCAAGTTTAAAACCGGTTTTATAACAATTTTTATTTTTGAATGAATAGGATACAGATCAATGAATTCATAATGTAATTAAAGGAATTCAAAAAATTGAAATCGATTTTATAACAATTTTAATTCATAATGTAATTAAAACCGGTTTTAGTGGCTTTCCCATAAACTGGATCAGGGCTGCAGAGCTTGCTTTTTCTTGATTTTTACATGTATGGAAAACTGAATAGTTGTTCATACTAAAACCAACAGAAAAGTTATGTAAGTAAATCCGTGTATTTTAGATATGTCTCCAAGGTTTTTTTGCTAGGCTTATACTATATAAGTTATACATTCACTGTGCCTATAACAAATCCGTAAGATGATCAATGGTCAATCCTGCAGCTTGCATAAAAGAGTAAACTAACACTGGACCCATAAATTGAAAGCCCCGCTTTATCCAGTATAATTCGGTTAAAGAGTAAACTAACACGTAAAATGATTAAAAAAGAAAAGAAATGGATATAATTTGGTTATCTAGTATATCCAAACCATTTGATAAATGAATAATCAAACCATATTTAAAATTAAAAAGTGGATATATTTTTTAACCGGTTTTTTAATTTGGTTTAGTTTGGTTTTTAATTTGGTTTGGATCAATTGGATATTTTGCACATCCCTAATTATGGTGAGTGAGTAATGAATTTGGCAGAATTTCAGTAAGGTGAGTAATGGAGATAAGATGCTCTTTCTAAAGGAGTAATGAAATATTTATAGAGTGAGGAAGATTCTTAACATGAAAAATGCGATGCTATAATCGTTCTCAATCGTATAGACTCGACACTGATGTAAGGTTGCATGACTCCTCATTTGCATGGGTCATGCATGCCTCGAAAGTGTGGGATAACCACGTATTAAAAGGGATCATCTATCCTTTAGGGTGTGTTTGGTACAAGTTTTTGTTGAAGATACCTAAGCAAATAGAAGTGGTATTTTTATATGTCCATGTTTAGTATCAGGATTTAAAAAAATTTGCTAGAAAAATTATTTGTCCAATATTTGCTTTTTGTGTGTAAAAAACACTGTTGAATAAAACCACGTACACGGTGATATTTACTGATAGCTGGGGAAATCCAAAAAGGGTTGTTGTGAAAATTCAAGCAAGAAGACCAAAATGACTCTGATCATATTTTCTCATTTTATTTTACTTAAGGGTTGTTGTGGTAATTTAATCATATTTTCCCACTTATATTTTACCTTCGACTAAACATTGACTTAGCAAACTAAAATCAATTTTTTCTGGTAATATTTCGGCCTACCAAATAACTTTTTTTAAGTTTTTCTACTAAACTCACTTTCCCATCATATTTTTAATAATTATATTTTTCTAGTAAAAAAAAAAAAATTTCTCTACCAAACACCCTGTTAGTGTTCTGTATTTTGGCCTGAGACTCTTCAAGGCCACCAAACTATTCACAAAATATTAGTCAGGTCCCACTTATTAATTACTTAATTACTTATAAGATAAGAGATAAATGCAAAATTTTGACATTAACATGCCGTATAAAATTTATAGGGAAAAGTTCACCAATGCCCCTGTGGTTTGCTTCAGAATCATTTATACCCCTGTGGTTTTTTTCCTATCACATATGCCCCTGTGCTTTGTAAAAAATAAGAAACCATATGGGTATATGTGATAAAAAAACATACCCTTTTACAAACCACATGGGCATATGTGATAAGAAAAAAACCACAGGGACATAAGTGATTTTGAAGTAAACCACAGGGGCATTGGTGAACTTTTCCCAAATTTATAAGAGGATTCGCTCTCACAATTTAGTGGGGGCATGTGCCCCTCCATCATTTTGAGCACCACATGGATCCACGGAGGTCAACCAATTTGACTTGGGGGCTTGAACAGTTGAACTCCTTGGGATTACTATGTATAACGGTATCAAACAATGTCTACCTGTACAAGAAACTATGACATGAAACACACCTGTGCATTAAAAGTTAAAACCATAAATTACGATAATATGGACCCCACTAGTAAATATTAATCACGCCATCACTCTCGGCTTTTCTCTCTATAAAACTCCCTCATTCATCCGCAAAGTTTCCCACCTTTCAATCACTCTAAAGTCTTCACAAAGAGAAGAACAAAAATGGCTTCCCTTTCATGCTTCCTTATTCTTTTTGCTCTTTTTCTTCTTACACCCAATTTTGTTTCCTCCTCCGTAGTTCATGACCCTGAATTAGTTGTACAAGATGTTCAAAGGTAATATAACTAACTAAAGAAGCATCCACTTCTTAATTTGTTTATGCATGTGTACTACATTATTCACTTCTCAATTTGGTTGTGTACTCTTATCTACATTATTCATTAGATATTACTGAAGAGTTAATTAAGAGCTAGCAACTATATATTATGTATAAAAAATAAATGTGTCACATTTTAATTTTAATTTTCTATTGCAGAAGCATCAATGCCTCTAGAAGAAACTTGGGTTATTTATCATGTGGAAGTGGAAACCCCATTGATGATTGCTGGCGATGTGACCCCAGTTGGGAGAACAATCGACAAAGACTAGCTGATTGTGCCATTGGGTTTGGCAAGGATGCCATTGGTGGAAGAAATGGTCAAATCTATGTTGTTACTGATTCTGGTGATGATGATCCAGTGAATCCAAGACCAGGAACTTTAAGGTATGCTGCTATACAAGATGAACCATTGTGGATTATTTTCAAGAGAGATATGGTTATTACTCTGAAGCAAGAGCTTTTAGTGAATTCCTTCAAGACAATTGATGGAAGGGGTGCTAGTGTTCACATTGCTAATGGGGGATGCATTACCATTCATTATGTTAGTAACATCATTATCCATGGCATTCACATACATGATTGTAAGCCCACTGGGAACACCAATATTAGAGACTCTCCACACCATTCTGGCTTTTGGACTGTATCAGACGGTGATGGTGTGTCCATCTTTAATTCAAGGCATATATGGGTTGATCATTGCTCATTATCTAATTGCCGTGATGGTCTCATTGATGCTATACATGGATCCACAGCTATCACCATCTCCAACAACTACATGACCCATCATGACAAAGTCATGCTTTTGGGCCACAGTGACTCATACACACAAGACAAGGACATGCAGGTCACTATAGCCTTCAATCATTTTGGAGAAGGCCTTGTCCAAAGAATGCCAAGGTACATACATGTAACTAATTTCATCACTTTTTTCATTAATGTATATTCTACCACTGAGGTCCAAATCATTTACTATTTATATCAAAAAGGGTAATATATATATGGGAATTATTATTCTTATGCTGTAGGAGATAGGGTATATTATGTGATAGACTCAATATATGTAGGCTCCATTGATTTTTTTTTTTTAAAAAAGAAAAAGAAAAAAGGCAAGCACGGATATCGAAAGGTGAGTAGGAAAAAAAATTTGTCTTACGCTGCACGAGACTAACTTAACCCTATATATATATGGGCAGGATATTCTTACACAAGTGTACGAGTTAGAAGTCTTACACTCAATCTTGATCATTGATCCACTTGTATCCAATGACTCACATTACTAAAAAATTAGAGTCCTTAGATATAAGTGGGATCAATGGTCAAGATTGAGAGTGTAACTTACACTGGTGTAAAATGATCCTGACCCAAATATATATATATATATATATATATATATATATATATATAGGGGCAGGATATATATATACATTGGATACACTGGTGTAAAATGATCCTGACCCATATATATATATATATATGGGAAGGTTATATTTACAAACTCTTATAAACTACACTAAGTATGATCAGTCATACTTCAATCAAGAGTGTATGACCGATCATAGTTAGTGTAATTTGTAAAAAAAGTTTATAAATGAATCATTCCCCATATATATATACGGGTTTACATTTCTGCAGCTGCTGTTCGTGCAGCAGTCAAATACTTGTCATACATATACGTGAAACCATTATATATGAGGAATCATAACCATATACCTGTCATTGTTGTACGTAAAATGACAGTAGAAATTATTTTACCATATATATATATATGGGGGCAGGATCATCTTACACCGGTGTAAGAATAAGAAGTCTTACACCAAATCTTAACCATTGATTTTCTGCATCTAACAGTTAAGATTTAATAGGTCTCATTAATTAATTAATTTTTAATTCCCAATAAATCTCAACCGTTAGATGCACAGAAATCAACGATTAAGATTTGGTGTAAGATTTATTATTTTTACACCACTGTAAGTTGATCATATCCCATATATATATATATATATATATATAAAAGTTAGAGTATAATGGTTAAATAATTAATCTTGCAGGTGTAGACATGGGTATTTTCATGTGGTGAACAATGACTACACTCATTGGGAAATGTATGCAATTGGTGGGAGTGCTAACCCAACAATTAACAGCCAAGGGAATAGGTTTCTTGCACCAGATATTAGATTTAGCAAGGAGGTAACCAAGCATGAGTATGCTTCAGAGAATGAATGGAGGAGTTGGAATTGGAGGTCAGAGGGTGACTTGTTCTTGAATGGTGCATTCTTCAGGCAATCTGGTGCTGGTGCTTCTTCTACCTATGCTAGGGCCTCAAGTCTTAGTGCAAGACCATCTTCTCTTGTTGGTTCAATGACCATCACTGCTGGTGCACTTAGCTGCAGGAAGGGCACACGTTGCTGAATGACCCCAGATTAATCACTTTATGATTAGTTAAAGAATTAAAATAACTGTAGGGAAAACAGAAGAAGGAGAATATATATCATTTATGCTTAATTTGCTTCCCCTGCAGTTATCTATTTATAATATATATTTATATCAATTAAGTTATACCAAGTTATTTAATATATTGACTATAATTTGCTTCCCCTGCTTAATGTAATACTTCAAACACCTAAAAACCCTTTTCTCTCATACCCATAACCTTTGAGATCAACTTATTACTTATCATTTTTCAATGTGCACGCACGCCTCTGTCTACTAAAATGCCTATACATCTCTTTTGCTTTGGTATTCCATTTTAAGATCAGCTTCTTTTTTTCTCCTTATTCTCAGACCCATCTACCTAATAATGTCCTCCCTCCCTTGCATGCGCAACTGTCAAAATGAAAGTAGATTTTAATATTAAATGAATCCATAAAACCATATTAAATTCTAAAAGTTCACGGGAAATATAATAAAAATGAAACATTTTAAAAATTCACTCGCTCCAACCATCCATGTACATTTTTGTGCTTGTTTAATTCATTTTGTGGATTTAGTTAGTTACATTTATTAAGAATTTCATCAAATTAGCATTAGTAATCTAGCAAAGAAAAAATAGTTTGTGATCCATCCAAGAGAATTGTGAATGTTCGACCGTAGGATTATAGTCAATATGAAATATGTGCGCTCGCGGGAGTCTGTGAAAAATACATTCCAAAGGATGATAAATCAATATGCATTAACAAGGCTCAAGGCTAAAGGAGGTGAGGTGTATGAAAGGTTCAAGAGATATATACCAGAGAGACTTAACCCCCGTTGTTGTAGATGATGTCACATGATGGTCCCCATAGTTTTTTTTTTTTTTTTTTTTTTGAGATATTTCAATTGATTTATCGCGACTAGTCCGATTTAAGACGGGTCCTAGAATTAAAATTTTAAACTCTTAATATTGAAGAAGATCAAACACTTGCTGATAGTACGAGAGTTTGAGTGTGAGTCAAACCATTGGGAATAAAATAAGGGTTTTATTAATCTTATATTAAAGGAGATAAGTTATCTCATGTCATAGAGATAAATTTGTGGGTTCCACCATCTGAAAAATAAAAAGAAAAGAAAAGAAAAAGGTGGCACAATTATCGAAGGGTGTGTATGAGAGAAAATTATCACATGTAATATAAGAGTAATTTTTTCCATAAAATAGTAGATAATATCCCTTGACATTTGAACTATCCACTTATCTCAATATGTTACTTCTAAAAATTGTGGGACTCATTAGGTGGGTCCAAAACAATTAACTATATTAATCAATTGTCACTATTTAACATATTAAGAAAGGAATGAAATATTGAAGTCCATGGAGGAGGAAACATTTTCTGCCGTCAATCGTGCACAAAAGTTCGAAAACAATAATGGAGGAGGGGGCTGTCTATCACGTCCATAAACACAAACAATCAAGTGACCTACTAGTCATGATTAGAAAATGTTCATGTGTAGTGTGCCGTGTGCTGAAATCCCCTGTTCTCACATACAAAGTTATAATCTCATTCTATTGTGTTCATATTTTAAGAGTTTCCCGCGTGTGTGTCTATATATATATATATATATATAGGGTTTGTTTTTTCCGATGTTACTTTAGATAACTTTATCTATTGTTCATCGAAACGACGTCGTTTTGGGACGGAAATCATGATATTTTTGTAATTTTAATTTATTTCAGGGTTATAATAGTCTTTATCACTCTAATTTTTTAATTTTTCAACCCCAAAACGACGTCGTTTCGATGAACATTAGATAAAGTTATCTAAAGTAACATCGGAAACTTTTTTCCCATATATATATATATATATATATATATATATATAGAGGTAGGATCCTTTGACACCGGTGTCAAATTTCAATTTTGACACCTCATCTGAGAGCCGTTAGATAAAAAAAATCAATGGTGTCACATGCTTACAAATCAGAGTCGTTGATCTTTTTTGATCTAACGACTCTCAGATGAGGTGTCAAAATTGAAATTTGACACCGGTATCAAAGGATCCTACCTCATATATATATATATATATATATATATATATATATATATATATATATATGTTGGAATTAATGAATGAATTAATGTACAATGATCCATTGGTTATGAATAAGAAGTGGGTTAATAAAGAAAAGAGAAAAAGGGAAGATGAAGAGGTGTGTGAGTTTCAACAAGTCCCACATTGGACAATTAGTAGGAAATGGGAGAGTATATAAGCTCCCACTTCCCTCTCTTAGATTGGCCCTTGGGTCACTACATGTTTTATGTAGGGGGGAGAGCTAGATGAGCATTGGTTCACCACACAAGCGCGCGCCGCCGTCCGTCTGGCCGGTCGGCCGGCTCGGCTCGGCTCGGCTCGGTTCATAGTGTGTAATAAAAAATAATTTTTTATTAAATAATTTTTTAATATTTTGTCCAAAAAATTTACCGTTGCTTCCCTCCAACCAAAACGTTTCTACCCGCCGGTTTTTTGAGCAGTATTGAACCGAACCGGTTCTTTCCCTTCGTGAACCAGTCACCGGTTGTGTCTGCTCGCTGAACCGGTCACCGGTCGTATCTGTTCGTCGGAACAGTCACCGGTCGCACCCGTTCGCCGCCATCAGACACTGAAAAACTGAATGGAACAAATTTCAAACGCTGGCAACAGAAGATGTTGTTCTATTTGACAACTCTGAGTCTAGACCGTTTCCTCAAGGAAGATGCTCCTAAACTGAAAGAGGGAGAAGAGTCTGACAAGGAAAAGGTTGCTGCCATTGATGCTTTTAAGCATTAACTCACTGTATAATGTGTACTGTACCCTGAAGACTAGTAAGGAACTTTGGGAAAGTCTGGACAAGAAGTATAAAACTGAGGATGCTGCCTTGAAAAAATTCATAGTTGGCAGATTCTTGGACTTCAAGATGGTAGACTCCAAATCTGTTGTGAGTCAAGTTGAGGAACTTCAAGTGATTGTGCATGAAATTCATGCAGAAGGAATGTCTCTTAGTGAGTCTTTTCAAGTTGCTGCTTTCATAGAGAAATTACCAAACTCTTGGAGAGACTTCAAGAATTATCTGAAGCATAAGCGCAAGGAATTGACACTTGAAGATCTGGTTACCAGATTGAGAATAGAAGAAGACAATAAGATGTCTGACAAGAGGAATGGCAACAATCCTATGATCTCCAAAGCTAATGTAGTTGAAGAGGGATCAAAGTCAAAGAAGAGGAAATATTCTGAAGATGGAAATGCTAAGCAAGGAAAGGGCAAAAAGTTCAAAGGCAACTGTTTCAATTGTGGGAATCCTGGCCACCGTGCAAAGGATTGTAAGAAGGAACAAAGGAAAGATCAGAGGAAGCCACAAAAGTTCAATAAGAAGAAGAAGAGCACTCAAGCCAATATGGTTGATATTGCTGATCAGGTTGAAGAACTGAATCTGGCAGCAGTGGTGATGGAGTGCAATCTGATGGGAGACTCCAACGAATGGTGGGTGGACACTGGTGCCACCAGACATGTCTGTTCAAACAAGGGGATGTTCTCCTCCTATACTCCTACTGATAATGATGAGAAACTTTATATGGGTAATTCATCTACTTCAAAAGTTGAAGGAGTGGGCAAAGTGGCTTTGAAAATGACATCTGGCAAGATAGTGACACTGAATGATGTGCTCCATGTGCCTGATATTCGCAAGAACTTAGTCTCTGGATCTCTGTTAAGCAAGAATGGCTTTAAACTTGTATTTGTTTCTGATAAGTTTGTACTTACTAAGAATGATGTGTATGTAGGAAAGGGCTACCTTAGTGGGGGCCTTTTCAAACTGAATGTGATGACTGTAAACAACTCCAATATTATTAATAATACTACTACTTCTGTCTACTTGCTTGAGTCTTCTAATTTATGGCATAGTAGATTAGGACATGTTAATCTAAAGTCCATTAAGAGTTTAATACATTTAGATTTATTACCTAAATTTGAATGTTTAAATAATAAGTGCCAAGTATGTGTTGAATCAAAATTTTCGAAATTACCTTTTAAATCAGTTGAAAGATCAACCGAGTTGTTAGATTTAATACATACTGATATATGTGACATGAAATCTACACCATCTAGGGGTAATAAGAAATATTTTATTACATTTATTGATGATTGCAGTAGATATTGTTATGTGTACTTACTCAATAGTAAAGATGAAGCTATTGTTGCTTTTAAGCAATATAAAAGTGAAGTTGAGAATCAACTCAACAAGAAAATTAAAATGGTAAGGAGCGATCGTGGGGGAGAATATGATGGCCCTTTCGAGGAATTCTGTATAGAGTCTGGTATTATACACCAGACAACAGCTCCTTATTCACCGCAATCAAATGGGATTGCAGAAAGGAAAAATCGGACACTGAAAGAGATGATGAATGCTATGTTAATTACGTCCGGTTCACCACAGAATTTGTGGGGGGAAGCCATGTTGACGGCTAATTATATTACTAATAGAATGCCCCACAAAAAGATAAAAAGCATACCATATGATATATGGAAAGGAAAGAAGCCATCCCTGAAATACTTTAGAGTGTGGGGGTGTTTGGCTAAGGTTGCGGTTCCTAAACCTAAAAGGTTAAGAATCGGACCTAAAACCGTGGATTGTGTATTCATCGGTTATGCACTTAATAGTAGTGCTTATCGCTTTCTAGTGTATAAATCTGATGTCTCAGATATACATATTAATACGGTGATTGAATCAAGGGAAGTTACTTTCTTTGAAGACATATTTCCGTATAAGAAAAAACATGAATCAAGTGGTAATGATGATGATCAGGTTGAGATACCTCGAGATGCTACAACTGATACTGATACCGTAGAGGACATAGAAGATGAACCTAGACGTAGCAAGAGGCAAAAGACCGCCACATCCTTTGGACCTGATTTTATGACATACTTATTGGAAAATGAACCTCGGACGTATAAGGAAGCTATAAC